GGCCCCGGCACAGGTGGCCCCACAGGCGGCTTGTACGGACTCGCTGTATTGCCCGCGGACACGCAGAAACACAGGGAGCAGGGAGTCGCGGCACCCGGGCACCTCGGCCTCCCTGAAAGGCACGCGGGGTGGGTGCCCGGTGCGGCACCTCTAAGTGGGGATGACGCCCGAGACGAGGAGGATGATGAGGATGAGGATGATGGCACCCACAAGGCCGAGGATGAGGAGCAGCTTCAGGTTCTTCCACCAGTACTTGCGGGCCACCTTCTGCGACGTTGTCTTGAAGTGCTCCGACTGCGGGCAGAGGAGGGCACCGGGCTCGGGGTGCTGCACCCTAGGGGTCCCCCCCCACCCCAAGGACCCTGCACCCATCCCATGACCCTGTGCACCGCACCTCAGGGCTTACCCAGGGACCAGGTGCCACCCGGGGGGCCCAGCAGTCACCCTGTGCCCCACCCCTGTGCCCCACTCTGACAGTCCACTTAGGGCCCCTGTATCCACCCTGGAGAGCTGGTGCCACTTTGAGGACCCTCTACCCAGGCCAGGGACCCAGCACCCAACCCCACGTCCCCAAGAGGGGCTGGGGCTGCGCCTGGTGCCCGCGGTGACCTTCTCCGGGACGTGCCCAGAACCAGGGAACCGCCGGGCGGTTTGGTGGCCCCCCCCCCCTCCAACCCCATAGGGGCTCCGGGCACCCCACTTAGAGCCTGGGCACCCTGAGCACCCCAGGCACCCCATAGGGGCTCCGGGCACCCCACTTAGAGCCTGGGCACCCTGAGCACCCCAGGCACCCCATAGGGGCTCCGGGCACCCCACTTAGAGCCTGGGCACCCTGAGCACCCCAGGCACCCCATAGGGGCTCCGGGCACCCCACTTAGAGCCTGGGCACCCTGAGCACCCCAGGCACCCCACAGGGGCTCTGAGCACCCCACATGGAGCCCATGCACCCTACCTGCATCTCAGGCACCCATACAGACCCCGAGCATCCCTACCACCCCACAGGGACCCCATATGCACCCTGGACACCCACATGGACCCCGAGCACTCTAAGCACCCCACAGGGACCCCACAGAGAGCCTGGGCACCCTGAGCACCCCAGGCACCCCATAGGGGCTCCGGGCACCCCACTTAGAGCCTGGGCACCCTGAGCACCCCAGGCACCCCATAGGGGCTCCGGGCACCCCACTTAGAGCCTGGGCACCCTGAGCACCCCAGGCACCCCATAGGGGCTCCGGGCACCCCACTTAGAGCCTGGGCACCCTGAGCACCCCAGGCACCCCATAGGGGCTCCGGGCACCCCACTTAGAGCCTGGGCACCCTGAGCACCCCAGGCACCCCACAGGGGCTCTGAGCACCCCACATGGAGCCCATGCACCCTACCTGCATCTCAGGCACCCATACAGACCCCGAGCATCCCTACCACCCCACAGGGACCCCATATGCACCCTGGACACCCACATGGACCCCAAGCACCCCACAGGGACCCCACACACACCCCGAGCACCCCACAGAGATCCTGGGCACCCCGAGCACTCCAGGCACCCCATAGAGGCTCCAGACACCCCACAGAGAGCCTGGGCACCCCAAGCACCCCTCAGGGGCTCTGAGCACCTCACAGAGAGCCTGGATACCCCGAGCACCCAGGCACCCCTCAGGGGCCCCGAGCACCCCATAGGGGCTCCAGGAACCCCACAGAGAGCCTGGGCACCCTATATGCACCCACACAGACCTCGAGCACCCCACAGAGACCCCACACGCACCCTGGACACCCACATGGACCCCAAGCACTCTAAGCACCCCACAGGGACCCCACAGAGAGCCTGGGCACCCTGAGCACCCCAGGCACCCCATAGGGGCTCCGAGCACCCCACATGGAGCCCATGCACCCTACCTGCATCTCAGGCACCCATACAGACCCCGAGCATCCCTACCACCCCACAGGGACCCCATATGCACCCTGGACACCCACATGGACCCCAAGCACCCCACAGGGACCCCACACACACCCCGAGCACCCCACAGAGATCCTGGGCACCCCGAGCACTCCAGGCACCCCATAGAGGCTCCAGACACCCCACAGAGAGCCTGGGCACCCCAAGCACCCCTCAGGGGCTCTGAGCACCTCACAGAGAGCCTGGATACCCCGAGCACCCAGGCACCCCTCAGGGGCCCCGAGCACCCCATAGGGGCTCCAGGAACCCCACAGAGAGCCTGGGCACCCTATATGCACCCACACAGACCTCGAGCACCCCACAGAGACCCCACACGCACCCTGGACACCCACATGGACCCCAAGCACTCTAAGCACCCCACAGGGACCCCACAGAGAGCCTGGGCACCCTATATGCACCCACACAGACCTCGAGCACCCCACAGAGACCCCACACGCACCCTGGACACCCACATGGACCCCAAGCACTCTAAGCACCCCACAGGGACCCCACAGAGAGCCTGGGCACCCTATATGCACCCACACAGACCTCGAGCACCCCACAGAGACCCCACACGCACCCTGGACACCCACATGGACCCCAAGCACTCTAAGCACCCCACAGGGACCCCACAGAGAGCCTGGGCACCCTATATGCACCCACACAGACCTCGAGCACCCCACAGAGACCCCACACGCACCCTGGACACCCACATGGACCCCAAGCACTCTAAGCACCCCACAGGGACCCCACAGAGAGCCTGGGCACCCTATATGCACCCACACAGACCTCGAGCACCCCACAGAGACCCCACACGCACCCTGGACACCCACATGGACCCCAAGCACTCTAAGCACCCCACAGGGACCCCACAGAGAGCCTGGGCACCCTATATGCACCCACACAGACCTCGAGCACCCCACAGAGACCCCACACGCACCCTGGACACCCACATGGACCCCAAGCACTCTAAGCACCCCACAGGGACCCCACAGAGAGCCTGGGCACCCTATATGCACCCACACAGACCTCGAGCACCCCACAGAGACCCCACACGCACCCTGGACACCCACATGGACCCCAAGCACTCTAAGCACCCCACAGGGACCCCACAGAGAGCCTGGGCACCCTATATGCACCCACACAGACCTCGAGCACCCCACAGAGACCCCACACGCACCCTGGACACCCACATGGACCCCAAGCACTCTAAGCACCCCACAGGGACCCCACAGAGAGCCTGGGCACCCTATATGCACCCACACAGACCTCGAGCACCCCACAGAGACCCCACACGCACCCTGGACACCCACATGGACCCCAAGCACTCTAAGCACCCCACAGGGACCCCACAGAGAGCCTGGGCACCCTATATGCACCCACACAGACCTCGAGCACCCCACAGAGACCCCACACGCACCCTGGACACCCACATGGACCCCAAGCACTCTAAGCACCCCACAGGGACCCCACAGAGAGCCTGGGCACCCTATATGCACCCACACAGACCTCGAGCACCCCACAGAGACCCCACACGCACCCTGGACACCCACATGGACCCCAAGCACTCTAAGCACCCCACAGGGACCCCACAGAGAGCCTGGGCACCCTATATGCACCCACACAGACCTCGAGCACCCCACAGAGACCCCACACGCACCCTGGACACCCACATGGGGCCGCGGGGAGGGGGACAGCTACCGGGGTGGCCCAGGGGGAAGGACCAGCTGCTGGGATGGCCCAGGAGAAGGACAGGGATGGGCACCAGCATGGCCCAAGGGAAGGACAGCGTTGGGCACAGGGGAAGGACGGGGACAGCTACCGGGGTGGCCCAGGGGGAAGGACCAGCTGCTGGGATGGCCCAGGAGAAGGACAGGGATGGGCACCAGCATGGCCCAAGGGAAGGACAGCGTTGGGCACAGGGGAAGGACGGGGACAGGTACCAGGATGGCGCAGGGATGGGACGACTACAGAGATGGCACCCTGGGGACAGGCACCATGACGGGCATGGGAACGGATACCGAGATGACCCGGAGGAAGGACTGGGATGGGCGCAAGCACCATGACGGGCATGGAGACACAGACTGGGACGTCCCAAGGGAAGGATGGGGATGGTGACGCGTACCAAGACGGCCCCACCTGGGTAGAGACCCCGCGCCAGGGGCGGTGGCTCAGGGGTGCCCGGCGGTGCCCGCAGGCGCCCTGGGCATCATGGCAGGGTGCTGCTACCGCTTGAGCTGCCTGGCCTTCCTGGGGCCCTACTGGTACGTCTTCCTGCTCGACAAGACGGCCTGGAACAACCACTCCTACCTCTACGGGCTGCTGGCCTTCCAGCTGGCGCTGCTGGGCGCTGACCGCTACTGGTGGGGGGCGCCCGGGG